TGAAGGTGGAGCAGTGGATGTGCTATACATGGATTTAAGTAAGGTGTTTGACAAGGTTCCCCATGGTAGGCTCATGCAGAAGGTAAGGAGGCATGGGATAGGGGGAAATGTGGCAGATTGGATTCAGAATTGGCTGACCCTTAGAAGACAAAAGGGTGGCAGTGGACAGAAAATATTCAACATGGTGCTCAGTTACGAGTGGTGTACCACAAGGATCTGTTCTGGGTCCTCTTCTGTTTGTGATTTTTGTAAATGATTCGGATGAAGGAGTGGAAGGGTTGATTAACAAGTTCGCGGACGATACGAAGATGGGTCACGTTGTGGACAGTGCGGAGGGCTGTTCTAGGTTACAAAGGGACATTGATAGAATGCAGAGCTGGGCAGAGAAGTGGCAGATAGAGTTTAACCCTGAAAAGTGTGAGGTGATTCAATTTGGAAGGACAAACTTGAAAGCAGAATACAGGGTTAACGGAAAGATTCTTGACAGTGTGGAGGAGCAGAGGGATCTTGGGGTTCATGCTCACAGTTCCCTGAGAGCTGCCACCCAGGTGGATAGAGTTGTTAAGAAGGCGTATGGTGTGTTAGCTTTCATTAATAAGGGGATTGAGTTCAAGAGCTGTGAAGTTATGCTCCAGGTATACAAAAGCCTGGTTCGGCCACATCTGGAGTATTGTGTCCAGTTCTAGTCACCCTCATTACAGGAAAAACGTGGAAGCGTTGGAAAAGGTGCAGAGGAGATTTACCAAGATGTTGCCTGGAATGGAGGGAAGGTCTTGCGAGGAAAGGTTGAGTGAGCTAGGGCTTTTCTCTTTAGAACGACGAAGGATGAGAGGTGACTTGATAGAGGTGTACAAAATGATCAGAGGTATAGATAGAGTAGACAGCCAGAGACTTTTTCCTAGGGTGGAGGTAGCTTTTACGAGGGGACATAGTTTTAAAGTGAAAGGAGGTAAATATCAGGGAGACGTCAGAGGTAGGTTCTTTACTCAGAGAGTGGTAGGGGCGTGGAATGCATTGCCGGAGAGGGTAGTGGAGTCGGCCTCATTAGGGGCATTTAAGCGGCTATTAGATAGGCATCTGGATGATAGTATAAGGTAGCAGTGGAGGTTAGATAGACCTTAGGTTTCGGGTAAAAGTTCAGCACAACATCGTGGGCCGAAGGGCCTGTACTGTGCTGTACTGTTCTATGTTCTAATTAACCCATGCCTTTCTAAGTGGGTAATATTTTGCTCCTTCAAAATTTTTTCAATAGTTTCCCTACCGCTGAAGTGAAACTCACCAGTCAATAATTTCCTGGTTCATCTCTACCACCTTTCTTATCCTCAGTCCTTTAGCGCTTGCCCCATGGTCAGACAGGAATTAAAAATTTGTGTCAGAGCTGCTGCAATTTCCTGCCTCGCCTCCCACAGCAGCCTGGGATGCAATTTATCTGGGCCAGTGGATTGTCTATTTTTAAGCCCAACATAGCCTCAAACTGTGCAAGTTCCTCATCCAGCAGCTTCACACACAGGTTGCCCCCTTAGTCCCTAATAGGCTCTCCTCTTTCCCTGGTTAATCTCTTCCTTCTAATTTATTTGTAAAATCCGGTTCGCAGGTCATTTCTCATGCCCCCTTTTTACTCTTCTACTTGCTTTCTTAAGTTGTCTCCTGCACTTCTTGTAAAATTTGTCAATTATAATGTCTTTCCTTTCTCTTTCCTTTAATGGATGCTTTTATATATGAATGTGGGTTACGAAAAATTCCCCTGGGATTTGATTGCTGTAATAAATCCTACTTTGCTTTAACCTTAAAGCATTTGTTGTAATTATTTTAGACTGGACTTCACAAACAGGATTTAGGGAAACAACATACTCACCCCAGTTTCAGGGGAAAGAAAATAAGGAAATAAAATTTTAGAAACACCTCTGTTACAAAGACAAATGGCAAGCACAAAAACACAAACCTACAGTCACCACTAAACTCCTCCTCTTATACCTACATTAATTGATGCTGGCCTTTATTTCAACAAGGAGCGGAAAACAAAGTGTGACTAACGCATGCATCAGTTGTACAGAATTCTGATCAGAGTCTATCTAGAGAAGTATGTTGAGTTTTGGGCCCCACACTTAGAAACCATGTAGTGACTTTATAGGATATCAAGGCTGCATAAAGGGACCTTAGCAAAACTAACGTTAGACTAATTAATGGCAAAATCCAGACCAGAGTGTACAGGAAGGCCACACACAGGGACCAAATCCTGAACTTCAATCGTAACCACCCCACCATACACAATTGGAGCTGCATTAAGACACTATTTAAATGAGCCATATCACAGACAACGGATACCCAAGAAGTTTGTCTGCTGATGCCTACAAACCAATCCACAGTTAGAGGACGTGGTACACCAGAAAACAATAGTACCCTACATCAAAAGTATATCGGAAATGACAAGCAGACTCCTTAGACTGCATAGGATCATGATTACACACAAACCTACATCAACACTGCGTGAAATGTTATCAAAGACTAAAGACCCCATTCTGACAGTAAACAAGACTAACATGATATACAGAATCCCATGCAGTGAGTGCAATAGACTTTACATTGGACAAATAGGGAGGAAACTGATGACCAGGATACACAAACACCAGCTGGCAGTAAAAAGACACGACGAATATTCACTTGTCTCGATACACACAGACAAAGAAGGGCATCAGTTCGACTTGGACAAAGTGACTATACTGGGTCAAGCAAACAACAGATTTGCAAGCGAATTTCTGGAAGCCTGGTTCTCAACATGGGACTCCATTAACAAAACTTAGAAACAGACCCCGTATACAGACTGCTGCTGGAAAACAGAACCAGCAGTGACAAGACCCATACAACAGAGGGTCATATAAATTCGGAATGGAGCAGAAGTCCAATGCTTTGATTGGAGGTTGCACTGATGATGTTGCCTAGAATGGTAACAAAACATCTGCACACCTCAGAACAATTGGCTCGGCGAACAAACGAACAACCACATCCACAACCCGAGCTACAAATTTTCGCTAGAATCCTAAAGGCCTGTCTGCCATCCACAAGGCACAAATCAGGTGTGTGATGGAATACTCCCCACTTGCCTCAATGAGTGCCACTCCAATAATACTCAAGAAACTGAATACCATCCAGGCCAAAGCAGACTTTTTGATTGGGACCACATCCATAAGCATCTAATCCCTCTCCCACTGACGCTATGGAGGCAGCAGTGTATACTATCTGCAATGCACTGCAGAAATTCACCTAAGGTCCTAAGACAGCACCTTCCAAGCCCATGATTACTATCATAAAGAAGGACAACAGTGGAAGTTCTGCTCCAAGTCACTCACCCTCCTAACTGGGAAATATATTGCCATTCCTTCACGGCTGCTGGGTCAGAAGCCTGAAATTCCCTCCCTAAGGGCATTGTGGATCTACCTCCAGCAAATGAACTGCAGCAGTTCAAGAAGGAAGCTCACCATCACCTTTTCAAGGGCTAGCAAGTGATACGTATGTCCCATGAGCGAATTAAAAACAATTTAATTTATGGATAAAATGTTGGTTATTGCTTAATATCTGTTTCATTAATTTGAAATTATTTTTGTTTTTTTTCTTTTTAATGTTTTCATTGTAATATTTTGACACTTGCCTATGCATGATTTGCAGAAGTAACATTGGTTTTGCTCATGTTTTTGTGTTTCATAGACAAGGAGGTGCAAATTAGATGTGCTAAACATGTCAAAGAACACCAAAAGCACACAACTGAGAAGGTGGCATCTTACAGGAGTACAACATATTCATAGAATCATAAAATCCCTGTCAATTATTTCAAGAATTATATCAAGACCATGCTGGAAATAGGTTAACCCACTTTGTATACCTTTGTTTTCTAATCCTACAGAAAAAACAAATGCACAACTAGTAAAAGATCTATTGAGTGAGTAGTTGAATATGGCTGACCATCATGACTCAACACCAATGGAAGTGGCAGTGCTTGGTGTTGCATGAGTGCTATCGTGGCAGCCCGTCAGTAGTGATAAGATGGGAGGCAATAATGTTGAGGCCATTTGACAGCTCTATTCTTTAGTGAAGTGCATGCTGATTGTGAACTGGCTGTGTGGCTGCTGTCATCTAGTGGATAGGTTGTGCTAGGGGCAGTTAGTGACTTTACATACGTGGACTGTCAGTCGCGTCATACTGCCATCATCCACTAACTCAGACACAGTAATCTTGATTGGGCATGAATCAACATTAAAGGACGGAACACTGTGTAAGCAGGACAATACCTGAGCAAGAGGGCAGTGTAACAGAATCAGCTGTGGCAGTCCTGTCAGACAACAGATAGACCTTGCTTCACTGTGTGAAGATGCTTGGCCTTGGATGTCAAGACAATGATGGCTTTTCTTATTAGAAGCAGATAATCCCCATATGTCAGAGTCCTGAGGCATTGCAAAGCCACAGACAGGCAATACAGTGTCAATGAAGTGTATGTGCTCTCTCATAGTTCAGGAAATTGAGTATTTCAACTGCTCTTGAAGAGTCATATGCTGTACAGTGTGTATACAAGAGCAGCATGCTGACATGTACAGAAATAGTAAGACTCTCTGCAGCATGGAACACTTATTGTCACTGGCACAGAGATGCATGAGGTGGATACCAGCTGTGTCTCAGCTGGTGATCTCATCCAGCAGGTGAGGTAGTTGTACAACTGCTGGGGTATTCAAAGTGGTTAATGAGGGAACCATCCCTTGGTGCACCATAACCATTCCTTGAGTTCTGAAGAAGGGTCATTGGACCTGAAATGTCAACTCTGATTTCTCTTCACAGATGCTGCCAGACTTGCTGAGATTTTCCAGCAAATTTTGCTTTTTTTTCTGATTTCTGATTAAAGCATCTGCAGTTCTTCAAGTTTTTTTTTGTCATTCTTTACATCCTTGGCCCCTTCAACTCAGCACCATCCCAGTAAAGGTCCTGTGATAATGCCTTCGCCTACAATGACACAGGTGCAGCAGCCTATGGAGAAGCCGACGTGGGCACCTCCATGGTGTGGACAGGCATGCAGCCTTATGCAGATACAATGGAGAAGGCTACTTCCATCTCTTCCCCAGCCACAGGAAAAGTAAACCATAGGCATGGGCATGAGCACAAGGCACTATGGTGTTACCTATGCTTGATAGGTCACTTTGTTGAAGTTCTTTGTTATTGAATAATCTGGCTATGATTATTTATCATGATATTGATTAGAGGTGTCTTTTTAAAGTTTGGTGAGAAAAGTGAAATTCATATTATTCATGGTGAACGAATGCCTGGGCTTGGTGCTGTTGCAAGGTCTGTGATGTCAAGCAGTGGTGGCAGAAGAAACTCCATTCTTAGTGTTTTTGGCAGGCAATGGGATTATTCGGGTGTGTGTTCTGGATAATTTTGCTTTTTGATGGAGGATGAATTGTAGAGCTATTTATCAGAGGGCTAAAAGGCATTCATATTAAGTATTGCTCAATCACCATGTATGTTGTGGTCATGCTAGCCTGCCAACCATAAATCCTGGGTCCAAACGCATCTGCAGCAACACCTTTGTCTTTCTATTCTTCATCAGAGGAAGAGTTGTGTAGCAGATCCTTTATTTCATCCAGCTCCAGACTTCTTTGTACAGTTAACTATGCAGTGTGTAGCAAAACAAACCACAATGCATGATGCCCTAATAAATGCAAAATACTGCTAATGCTGAAAATTTGAAACAAACACAGAGAATGCAGGACACATTCAAGAAGTCTGGCAGCATCTATGGAAAAGAAACAGTTAATATTTGGCGTCTGATATGACTGTTCTGCTGAATTTCTCTAACAAGCTTTGTGTTTGCATGCGAGACACCCTGGCAGGCTTGTACAGAAGGGTAACACCCAGGCAACAAAGACACATTTTCGAGGTGCGAATCATCTGTTCAATACAAGAATGTATTACTAGATGGCTCTAGTCATAGTGCTTCTTTGGATTTTTTTTAATATCCAGAAATGCTCTAATGCACAACTGAACATTTTTCTTTACCATCATCAAATCACCTGTGGTAACTTTTTTTCATCTATTAACCACTACCAGTAAAACACCATATTTTCCAATTGATTACTTAATATGCAAAGCCCGTTGATGGCAATGCAAATCATCAAAGATGAGGGAGTGGTAGTGAGACGGCTAGGGGCTAAATCAAAATGGAGTTGGAAGGGGCTTCTTTGGATCTACATTTGGGTATTTAATGCTACCAGGTAGCAGTATCTCAACTGCAAGTTTTATCCACCAGCAGCCACACAAGGTGCTTGGATGTGGGATGAAGAGGTACAGCACCTGGGACTCTTGTAGGATGGTGGAATAATCACAACTGATGAGAGGGGTAAGATGCACAACTGCAAGATTCACTTATGGTCACACACAATCTCAACCTTCAGTGAGTGGAAACCTTTTCATTTGTGGAAGTTACTAGTTAGTATGTTACATAGGTGCAATTAATGATCTCCTAGACCTGAGAAAATGATTCGATGGTAGCCAAGTCCAATGCCTTGTGTGCTTGCACTGTTCCATTTTTGTCAAAATGGACATTGTCACTTTTTGCAGTGGTGACCTGAGCAAATGTAGGTTAATTAAGAAAAATCAGCATGAATTTAGGGTTAAATTATGTGTAACATGCTGAAGCTTCTGAGGTAACACAAGGGCTGATGAGGATAATGCGCTTCCAGAAGGCATACGCAAAAGATTAGTAAACAATGTTAGAGCTCACGAAAAAAAAGCACAGTAATTGCCAATTTAGAGTGGACTTCATGCCCATAATACAAACAGTAAAATAAATCATCAGTTGGCAAATTTACTCGAGGAAGCGGTCTTCACCAACTTAAACAGGGCCACCAAGTATCAGGAATCTGTTGCAACTGACAATTGGTATAAGTTATCCTTTACCAAAATGGCGGCGGAGCGTCACTCTCGTTGGTGTCAGAGGCGTTGGATGCCGTCCGTATTAGGATCAACACAGGACTGCGCAGGCTTCGGATTCCTCATTCCACTGGAGCTGCTGTGCAGGGGGGGCAAGAGGGGGAGGGATTTGTGCGTAGAAGCCAAGTGGCCTTCGGAAAGCTAACGGAGAAACGGATGAAAATCTGAGCAGGGGGATGGGGGTGGATGCGATTCGACGGCCAACAAATGACCACAGGTGCAAAGGAGAAGGTAGAAAATAGAACAAAGCAAAAACCTCGCCCCAATTTCCAGTGAAATTTGTTGATAGGGGTACAGCACCAAGTTTAAGGACTGGAGGCAGGCGTAATCAGGCCCCTCACTGGATCGTGCGCTGTAACGCAGGCGCCGTGGAACTGATTACGCACGCGCTGTATTGGATGCCTGACACGCACCGGAGTGTTTGATTGTAGCGTAACGGACAAATGTAGCACGGGCTCGGGGGATGTGGGACGAAGGGGAGATGGCTCCCGACTTTAACGAAAATGTTTAGTAAGGGTGGGGGGAAGGGATGACAGGTAGAAATGTGAACCAAGAGGTAGGAAAACTTTTGAATTTTGGTACGCTAATGAATGGCGACCACCTCCATCCCCATCCCCCAACCCACATCAGTCAGCGGTTGCTATGTGTGCTCCAGCCCTTGGTGTGATGAGTACTCGATTGATCTGTCAAGTATTAAACAGTAATGTGCAGCCACGGCCTTGGGATTAATACGTTATCGGACGGTACGTCGAGTGTCTCTTGGCTGCAAGAGTTGTCGATTTTTGCGATGTTGGTGCTCGGCTATCTGTTTAAGCAATGGGCTGGGCACAGAAGCAATTTGATTAAATTCCGGAGTGTGGTAGGTATAAGTACCAATTGCAACTCGACCCAGCGCTTTTTTAAATTTGAGGATTAATTGCTAACGGCTAGAGGCAAAGGGCTGAGTATAAACCTGTAAATTAAAGTGATATTGATGAGTACAGTGTTTTAGATTTGCTTACCTTTCGATTTTCCCTTAATTAAGAAAGGTTGTATATGTCGATGATGTAACTTCAGTTTATTTATCACAGTGAGGCTACATGTAGACCCGTTTAAGATTCGGTAGGTTATGATATAATCGTGTGCAGACCATGTCAGTGTTGTCATAATGAGGTTGAATACAACACGGATATCTGCATAAGCGTTCTTCGATTGACTCCAGATTTAATGGCCATATGATACTCTCCAGGGTATTGAGCTCCAGTTGGATATTATAGCAGAAATTTGCAGTGTTTCCCAGTCAAGATGCAGGCTCTGTTCTGACACCCATCGACATTCCCCGTGTGGCAGCAACAAGAATATACTTGTCGCTGATGTAGGGAGGGGATAGTTTTTGGAATTTACTCCTGCAAGCCACGTTTACGAATGTTTTGTTGTAACCCGACGTTGCAGTCTCATTGAAATGAAAAATGAAGTAATAATAAGTTCAGAAGTGCCTGGATACTTTAAGGATTATTATACCCTCAAGTCATTTAAAACTGTTTTTGTAAACAAAGAAGTGATACTGAAATACTATGTAGCCACTGACGTCATTGCATTGAAGAGAAGTCTGGCGTCAGATGTTTGCGAAGCTGTAGGACAACCCCTTTGCCAATTGTGACCCTCTTCTTCCCTTCAGCTGTTGGATGATTACTGTGTTCCTGAAACCCCTTCCCTCAGTTGGTTCAGTGTCCACCACTGTTCATGCTTGTTTGTGATAGGATTGCAGTACTTTGATTTGATATGCTAATTATGAGGCTGTGTGGCTCTGACCATAATATGTTGCTTCTGCTCTACCCGGTGTTGCTATTACACTCCTCGTTGGTCACCTAGCTTGATGGTAGAGTGAGGAATATACTGTGGTATGAGGTTACTGATTGTAGTGGGGTACGGTTCAGGTGGCCACAATATTAGGTGAACGTCAGGTTTTAAGGTACTAGAAGCCTGAATCTGTTCCATCTTAGATGATGGGAGTGTCTTGTTGCACAATGGAAGCAGCCCTCACTATGAAGACTGGACTTCATCTCTGTAGGATTGTCACTTTTGTAATTGACAATATCATAGAACATAGAACAGTACAGCAGAGTACAGGCTTTTTGGCCCACAATATTGTGCCAACCTATTAGCCTACTAAGATCAATCTACCCTACATACCCTACATTTTGCTATACTCCATGTGCCTATCCAAGAGTCGCTTAAAAGTCTCTTGAGTGTCTGACTCCACTACCACTGCTGGCAGTGCATTCCACACGCCCACCACACTCTGTGTGAAGAACCTACCTCCAACATCTCCCCTATACCTTCCTCCAATCACCTCAAAATTTTGCCCCCTCGTAATAGTCATTTCTGCCCCCTCGTAATAGTCATTTCTGCCCCCTCGTAATAGTCATTTCTGCCCCCTCGTAATAGTCATTTCTGCCCTGGGAAAAAGTCTGTGACTATCCACTCCATCTGTGCCTCTCATCATCTTGTACACCTCTATCAAGTTGCCTCATCCTTCTTTGCTCCAATGGAACAAGCCCAAGCTCCCTCAACCTTTCCTCATAAGACCTGCCCTCCAGTCCGGGCAGCATCCTGGTAAGTCTCCTCTGCACCCTCTCTAAAGCTTCCACATCTTTCCTATAATGAGATGACCAGAACTGAACACAATATTCCAAGTCTAACCAGAGTTTTATCGAGCTGCAGCATAACCTCGCTGCTCTTAAACTCAATTCCCCTGCCAATGAAAGCCAACACACCATACGCCTTCTTCACAACCCTATCAACTTGGGTAGCAACTTTGAGGGATCTATGGACGTGTACCCCAAGAGCCCTCTGTTCCTCCACACTGCCGAGAATCCTGCCATTAACCCTGTATTCTGTATTCAAATTTGACCTTCCAAAATTAATCTCTTCACACTTTTCTGCATTGCATTCCATCTGCCACTTCTTTGCCCAGCTCTGCATCCTGTCAATGTCCCGTTGCAACCTACAACAGCTCTCCACGCTGTCCACAACTCCACCAACCTTTGTGTCATCCCTTTTGTTACTTCTTTCATTACTTGTCACACTGATGGTGCGTCATGTCCTTGCGAACTTGATCAATTGTGCCTGGGAGCCACTCCTGTTGATAGACATTGAGGTTTCCCATCCAGCAGACATTCTGTGCCCGAGTTACCCTTGGAATGTCTTTCAAGTGGTGTTCAATACAGAATAATTACAATAATTACAACATTTGATCCATCCATATTTGTGTCGGCCCTCCTTTATTCATTCATTAGATGTGGCCATCACTGGTTAGCCAGCATTTATTATCTATAAGGTTCTTGAGTAGATTTGCAGCTTGGGTTGTGGATGCTATGGTTGGTTCGTTCGCTGAGCTGGTTCCTTGGTTCGCAGAGGTTTCATTACCCTGCTGGGTAATGTTATCAGTGCAGCCTCTGATGAAGCACTGTTGTGTTTTCCCGCCTGGTATTTAAACTGTGGGGTCTGTTGGATTTGATTACCTCATTTCCGGTTTTCCTTCGCAATGGTGTATACATAGGGTCTAGTTCTATGTGTTTGTTGATGGCCGTCTTGGTGGAGAATCAGGCCTCTAGGAATTCCCGTGCTTGTCTCTGTTTGGCCTGTCCTAGGATCCTGGTTTTGTCCCAATCAAACTGGTGATTCTCCTTATCCGTGTGGATGGAGATGAGTGAGTATTGGTCGTGTCTTTTTGTTGCTAGTTGGTGTTCATGTACTCTTGTGGCCAATTTTCTTCCTGTCTGTCCAATGTAATGTTTGTTGCAGTCCTTGCATGGAATTTTGTATGTTACGTTGGTTCTGTCCATAGTGGGTAAAGGGGTCTTTGGTTCGAGTTAGCAGTTGGCGTAGGGTTGATGTGGGTTTGTGTGCTACTCTTATGCCCAATGGTCATAGGAGTCTTGTGGTCAGTTCGGATATGTTCTTGATGTCTCCCCTAGTTTGGTCCGTTTGATGGATAACCAACCCAAACTATGGATCTGATACGTGGACGACACTTTTGTCATCGCAAACAGACCAAACTAGAGGAGGCACACGAACTGATAAACAACACTCTCACCGGCATCAAATTCGCCAGGGAAGAGGAAGAGAACAAATAGCTCCCATTCCTGGACATCATGGTAGAACATAGGGCCAATGGGGAATTCCTGCCGAAGGTACACCGAAAAGCCGCACGCACTGACCAAGTACTGAATTTCAACAGTAACCACCCCAACGCCCACAACCAAAGTTGCGTAAAAACACTATTTAAATGAGCGATAACACATCGTGAAACTACAACAAAAAGAAGAGTCCCTCCTCTAAGTATTTAAGGACAACAGATACCCGAACAACTGGATCCGACGATGCCTATCACACGAGCAACAACAGGAAGATACTGCACGCCCTAACACACTGATCACGCTACCATACATCATACATGGATAAGGAGAACCACCAGTTCGATTGGGACAAAACCAGGATCCTAGGACAGGCCAAACACAAGCACGGGAATTCCTAGAGGCCTGGTTCTCCATCAAGAAGGCCATCAACAAACACATAGAACTAGAGCCTAGATAGACACCACTGCAAAGGAAAACAGGAAATGAGGTATTCAAATCCAACGGATCCCACAGTTTAAATACCAGGCGGGAAAACAGCGCTTCATTGGAGGCTGCACTGATGATGTTACCCAGCAGGGTAATGAAACGTCTGAACCAAGGAACCAGTTCAGTGAGTGAACCAACTACAGCATTTGTTGTCTATCCCTATGGAGCAGATGATATACTTCCATTCATTTGCCCTGTCTCCACATTCAAACATGTTTCCTCCTCTTTAGACATTTAGAACATTTCTGACACCGAAGGAGGCCACTCTGCTGGTTATGCCCATTTTGACCTAACAATGAATCAATAAGCCTGATTCCATTTCCAGCACTTTGTTCATATTCCTAGAGGTTGCAGAACTTCCGGTGTATATCCAAACACCTTTTTAAAATCTGTTTAGGGTTCCAGTCTCTTCTACCCTCTCAGACAGCGAGACCCCTATCTCCCAGTTCTGGGGAAGGGTCACCGGACCCGAAACATTAACTGATTTTGTTTTCACAAATGCGGCCAGACCTGCTGAGCTTTTCCAGCCACTTTGTTTTTGAACCCCCTACCATCTTTGGCTGGAAAACAAATTCTATCATTTTTCCTCTAATCCTTCAACTCATCATTTTAAGTCTATTCTTTGAGTCAATTACACCTCTGGTAAGGGAAATCAGCCTCTCTCAACCAGGTATATGCCAATAAAATCTTTACTCTGTCTCCTCTGATCCGAGGAAAACAACCCCATTCTGCCCAGTCTTTCCTTACAGTTGCATCTTTCCAGTTCTGAAAAGATCCTTGTGAATTTCCTCTGTGTCCACTTTAATCTGTCCTTCCTGTAATGGGGTGACTGGAATTTCACACTGTACTCAAACTGTGGTTTAACTGATGGAATTTTACTCTACAATGTCCCACACACCCTGGATACATTATGTTCCACTGGAGATTTTGGCATGATAGTATTTAGTCAGGAGGGATATGTCTTGGAAGAATTCAGCATTAACTCAAGACCTCATTGCAATCTCAATGCATCAGGTGAAACACTGGCAAGGAAACTTCCTGCTAATTACCACCTATACACCCCTTTCCCTCCCAGGGATGATGAATCAGTAATCCTCCGTGGTGAACATCAATTGAACAAAGCAATGAAGGTGGCA